TGACACTTTGAAGGACAAGCTTACACACGCACCATTGCTGCAACTTCCAAATTTTGGTAAGACTTTTGAGCTAGAATGTGATGCTAGTGGACTTGGCATTGGTGGTGTTTTGATGCAAGATGGTAAACCTGTTGCTTACTTTAGTGAAAAATTACATGGTCCTGTTCTTAATTATTCCACGTATGATAAAGAATTGTATGCACTTGTCCGTTCTTTAGAGACGTGGCGTCATTATTTGTGGCCTAAAGAATTTATTATTCATTCTGATCATGAATCGCTTAAGTATCTTCGCTCTCAAAATAATCTGAATCGTAGGCATGCTAAATGGGTTGAATTTATTGAGTCTTTTCCTTATATTATCAAACATAAGAAAGGGAAGGATAATGTGATTGCCGATGCTTTGTCTAGAAGATACACATTGCTATCTCAACTTGATTGCCGAATTTTTGGTCTTCAATCCATTAAAGAACAATATGCGCTTGATCCTGATTTTAAGGATGTGTTGCTTAATTGTAGAGAGGGACGCACATGGAATAAGTTTATGATCAGCGATGGGTTTTTGTTTAGAGCTAACTGCCTATGCATTCCAGTTGGTTCCGTTCGTCTTTTGTTGTTGCAGGAGGCACATGGAGGCGGATTGATGGGACATTTTGGTGCCAAGAAGACGGAGGAGGTGCTGTCCACACACTTCTTTTGGCCTAGGATGAGGCGTGATGTGGAGCGGTACGTGGCTCGGTGTGCCACATGTCAAAAAGCTAAGTCGCGTTTGAACCCACATGGTTTGTATATGCCTTTTCCTGTTCCTTCTACTCCTTGGGCAGATATATCTATGGATTTTGTGTTGGGATTGCCAAGGACTAAGAGGGGGAGGGATAGTATTTTTGTGGTGGTTGATCGTTTTTCTAAGATGGCACATTTTATTCCTTGTCATAAGAGCGACGATGCTGTTCATATTGCTGACCTTTTCTTTCAAGAAATTGTTCGCTTGCATGGTATGCCTTCTACTATTGTTTCAGATCGTGATGCAAAATTCTTGAGTCATTTTTGGAGCACATTGTGGAATAAATTGGGGACCAAGCTGTTGTTTTCTACAACATGTCATCCCCAAATTGATGGGCAAACTGAGGTTGTGAATCGAACATTGTCCACCATGTTGAGAGCCATTTTGAAGCGCAATTTGAAGATGTGGGAAGAGTGTTTGCCGCATGTGGAGTTTGCATATAACAGGGCGGAACATTCCACCACCAAGGTAAGTCCTTTTCAGGTAGTGTATGGTTTTAACCCCCGTACTCCTATTGATCTTTTGCCTTTACCTACCACTGAGAGAATACATAGTGATGCTAGAGAGCGTGCTGATTTTATTCGTAAGTTGCATGAAACAACTAAAGCAAATATTGAAAGCATGAATGAGAAGTATAGAATTCTTTGGTAGTAAAGGTAGAAAAGAGATTAAACTTGAACCGGGTGATTTGGTTTGGTTACATTTAAGAAAAGATAGATTTCACGAGCTACGTAAGTCTAAATTAATGCCAAGAGCAGCTGGTCCTTATAAGATTATTGAGAAAATAAATGATAATGCATACAAACTTGAGTTGCCATCCGAGTTTCGGGTTAGTCCCACATTTAACATTGTAGATTTGAAACCTTATTTGGGAGAAGAAGATGAGTTTGAGTCGAGGACGACTCCAATTCAAGAGGGGAGGATGATGAGGACATCACTCCTTTGGATGTACCTACTGATCCTCCAACCGTCATGCAAGGTCCAATGACCCGGGCTCGAATCGTCAACTCAATTTCTGGTGAGCTCGTTCTTAAGCGATCCTTTTCATACTTTTGAGAATAGACTACTACCTAATGATGTTATCTTGCTTAGGAACATTGGAGAGGGTCAAGATGGACTAAGAGGACGTGGAGGAGGTGATGATGACCAGCAAGGACGTCCAACACAAGCCGGAGGCCCAGTCCAACACGAATTCGAGTCTGCCTCGGCCTCCAGGACCAGTCTGCCTTAAACTGGTCGCCCAGGATGCATCCGGACTCCGTTTTCGATGATCCACGTATGGATGGAAAGCTAATTTGATAAGGAAGTCAATCCAAGTGGTTTCACGTCAAAAGCTGTTCGGAATCAACGGGAATCGTCAAAACAAGTCAGCGTCCAGAATCTGCCAGGGTGCTGCGACACCGTCTTTTGGTCCGTTGGACCATGTATCGAGTTTGGGCCCATTAGGGGCGCGTCCAGGGGTCTTGCACGACCCTAGAGTCTTCATAAACAGCCGTCGCCCCTCCATTAGGGTTTGGGTTTTGCTTAGATTATTCTGTCAAGAAACAGTTTCTCCGTTCTTCGGTTTGTGAGACCCCAACTCGTGAGATTAATCATACATTCGCAATTTGGTTGCGTTCTTTCTTGTTCTTGCTTGTGTTCTTCGTTGCGCATGCAGGGATTAGCCTTCTTGGCGAGGTCAATCTGGTCCGTGACTCGGTTGATAACCAGAGGAGCTGTGGTGCTAAGATTGTAGGGTTCGATCTTTCGATCTGAAGCCGGATCGGTGTGTCATTCTCCGCCACAACGATAGTTACCATCACCTGACGGAAGATCGGGATCCCCGTCTCCATTAGCTTGCTGACCTTCCTCGTGGTCACCGCGCGATCACCCTTTAGTGGGTGTACAAGCTGAAGGGGGATGAAGCCGGCGCCATCGTCAAGCACAAGGCTCGCTTGGTGGCACGAGGTTTCATGCAGCAGGAGGGGGTCGACTTCGACGACGCCTTCGCTCCCGTGGCACAGATGGAGTCTGTGCGACTCCTCCTTGCGCTAGCTGCCTAGGAGGGCTGGCGTGTTCATCACATGGACGTCAAGTCGGCGTTCCTTAACGGCGACTTGAAGGATGAGGTCTACGTGCACCAGCCACCGGGATTTGCGATCCCCGGCAAGGAGGGCAAGGTGCTCCGCCTGCGCAAGGCCCTCTATGGCTTGCGGCAGGCACCGAGGGCGTGGAATGCCAAGCTGGATTCCACGCTAAAGGGGATGGGCTTCGAGCAAAGCCCGCACGAGGCGGCCATCTACCGACGGGGCAGTGGAGGAAATGCTCTGCTGGTGGGTGTCTACGTCGACGACTTGGTGATCACCGACACCAAGGATGCGGAGGTGCCGGCATTCAAGGAAGAGATGAAGGCCACCTTCCAGATGAGTGACCTGGGACCTCTCTCCATCTACCTGGGAATTGAGGTGCACCAGGATGACTCCGGGATCACGCTTCGACAGACCGCCTACGCAAGCGCGTCGTTGAGCTAGCTGGGCTCACCGACTGCAACCTAGCTCTCACTCCGATGGAGAAGAGTCTGAAGCTGAGCTGCGACAGCACGACGAAGGAGGTGGACGCTACGCAGTACCGGCGTCTTATGGGGAGCCTTCGCTACCTCGCCCACACACGGCCGGACTTGGCATTCTCCGTCGGCTACGTTAGTCGGTTCATGCAGCGACCGACAACGGAGCACCAGCAGGCTGTGAAGAGGACCATCCGCTATGTTGTGGGGACTCTCGACCACGGCCTCTATTACCTAGGTGCCCTGGGACGGCACACTTCATCGGGTACAGCGACAGCGACCACGCCGGCGACATCGACACCAGCAAGAGCATGAGCGGGATCCTCTTCTTCCTCGGCAAGTGCCTCGTTAGCTGGCAGTCGGTCAAGCAGCAGGTGGTGGCCCTGTCCAGCTACGAGGCCGAATACATAGCGACCTCCACCGCTTCGACTCAGGCGCTCTGGCTCGCTCGACTGCTTGGTGATCTCCTCGGCAGAGACACTAGGACGGTGGAGCTCAGGGTGGACAGCAAGTCCGCTCTGGCCCTGGCAAAGAACCTCATCTTCCATGAATGCAGCAAGCACATCCGGGTGAGGTACCACTTCATCCGAGGCTGTTTGGAGGAAGAGAGCATCAGGACGAGCTACATCAACACCAAGGACCAGCTTGCGGACCTGCTCACCAAGCCCCTTGTGAAGATCAAGTTCCTTGAGCTCTACTCGAGGAACGGGATGGTTCAACTCTCCCACAAGACGACGCACAAGACTTAGGGGGAGAATGATGGATAAGTCTTCGTGGGGCTGGTCTTTGTGGGGCTGCTGCAAGGTGGTTATCAAGGACAGCATCCTTGACTGAAGGACAGCATCTAGGACAGCATATAGGACTAGCATCTTAGACTCTAAGACATCATCTTAGGACAGCATCTTAGAGGGACAGCATATTAGCATCTTAGACTAGCATCTTGGCATATGCTTGGCTGGCTAGCAGCCTATAAATATGTATCCCCAATCCCTTAGGTTGGCATGGCATTTGTGTGAGAAATAAAACCAGAAAATTGTCCCAACTTCTAGTGTCATCCTATCTCGATGAGAGTAAGAATTCTGCTACTAACAAGAGTGACAGTTCAACGACTAACAGATAGTACTGATCTAATACCAGTTGTTAGTCGTTGAACTCTCGCTCTCGGTAGTAGTAGAATTCTTACTCTCATCGAGAGAGGATGACCCTAGGAGTTGGGGTAATTTTCTGGTTTATTTCTCACACAAACTCACACAAATGTCATGCCAACCTAAGGGTTGGGGATAAATATTTATAGGCTGCTAATCAGCCAAGCATAAGCCAAGATGCTAGTCTAAGATGCTAATATGCTGTCCTCTAAGATGCTGTCCTAAGATACTGTCCTCTCAGTCAAGCAGTCAAGATGCTGCTGCTGTCCTCTCAGTCAAGCAGTATGCTGCTGCTGTCCTCTCAGTCAAGCAGTATGCTGTTGCAGACAGCCCCACAAGGACTGTCGAGAGAGACTTATCCATCACTCTCATATTCCACCATCGGACCACCTCTTCTAATATCTACAGCGAAGTTGAAGAAAGCAAATAGGTTGATTCAAATGCCCCCCAGAAATAAAAGATAGAAAGGCACCACACATAAAGGGAAATGAGAAGTGAACCTTTGATCGAATCAGCCGCTACAGTGGAGAACATGGACCTCATCAACTCCATGGCAGGGCTTGCAAATCTGCTAGTTTCACCGTTACGACATAACATGCTCAGTGAACGAGTTGTTGAACTGCACATGATTAAAGCATTCTGCTGCCTGATCAATCTGGTTGGCTGGTGAGTGCCTCTCTGCATGGTGCTGGGTGAAGCGGCGAAGCTGGCGAAGCGACCGAGCGACTGATCTCATCTTCCACTACGTATCTTATGTTTTTCCACTTTCTAGGCAGGCACCACAAGGAAGCTATGAGCCTACAAATGCAGCAGACCAAGGTTCCATTAAAGAAAGATACAGGGTACACCTCCTAAGAGTAGCATATTACCGGCCGTGTGACCAAGGAAGCATCAATCATGTGGCACAAACAAGAAATCTCAAAAGTAAGTAAACAAGTTAAATAAATGGGGTGGGAACATGAGACATGGAATCTACCATCATAAAAGGTAGTACGAGTAGTAATCAAGAAAATGACATGGAAAAGGTGCTCGATAGTAAAGAAATGATGCTACTACATACTCCGTACCATTACCCTGCAATTAATAATTAGTTCAATATAAATACCAATAAAGAAGCACTAAGTTTCCAGAGAAGAACTAGGAATTCGTATCCAATTGACCAGTACGGAGTACCACTACAGCTCCATCGATCGGCTACAAGTTCCATGGGTAGATGAAATACTACTATTTATTAATCCCTTCAACAAAGCAGGAAACCAAGAGACCGAGATGTGTAAATTCTTGCGCGATGGGCTAAAAGGTAACGCCATCTCCAGGATTATGGGAGCACTGTTTTTTTAACTTTTATGGGAGCACTGTTGCGACGGTTTCTCAAAAGATGGAAACTAGCTACGGATCGAGGAAGACGAAACAGTATCAGCGCCCGCTAACGGCCGCGGGTAACAAGAAATGCACCAAATGGGGAAATCCGAGCTCCAGATTTTGCGGAATCACAGAGCAATCCTGAAGGAGTGATCCAAGCTCGAACTAAAGAAGACCAGCCGCCTCATCTGACCTGAGCGGAGAACTTTGGCGCACGAACGGCCTGCTGGGCTGGCCCAGCCGACACCCGACGGCGCCGCGCACGCCTTCCGAAGAGGGATGCCGCGACGATCCGCTGCGGCACAGCAGGAGACGTCCCGGCGCGGCAACGCTGCCACCGGACGCGGCCATTAGCAGGCTGGGTCCGCCGGCGAGCAGGCACTCTAACAGAGGGAGGAGACGGAGAACAGGCGGGGTCCGCCGGCGAGCAGGCACCCCAACAGAGGGAGGAGACGGAGAGCGAACGAGGGGACAACGACGGCGCCTGCAGCCAACTCTGTACCACCTTTCCTAATCCAATCCAATAATAGAAAGAAAGAAAAAAGTCGAGAATAATCGAACCAGGGAGTATTACGGAATATAATAAGCACGCACCACAAACCAGGTGAGAAATCGAACTCGGGCCAGCCAAGAAACCGAAACCACGCCGGCTGCCGCTGCTTCTGGTCGCTCCGTTTCCCTGACCCGACAGCGACGAGTGCCCCAGGAGCGCCGGGCTTCTCGTCCTGAGACGTCACGTCGGTCGGGCCGGAGGCTACACCGGGTGGATTGTGCCAGCGCAACTTTTCTTCGTCTTACGCCATGTTTTCTTTAACACTGTTTTACGCCATGGCTGACTGCTGCTTGCGTGTAGGTTCGTTCTGTTTTTTACAAATCATCTACCGTGGTAAAACCAATAAACCTCCTAAAAATTTGGAAGTACAGTGTGAAAAAGGAATAGGCACGAAGCTGAAGCTTATACTGATTTATTGTGAAAGAAAAACGCTGTTTATTTGACATTCACCAGCAAGATGTCAATTCTGAATACTTATCATCATTATTACTATTAAAATTTCTTTCTGGTGACGTTTTATTTAAATGTTAGACACGTTTTATTTCATCTTCACTATTAGAAATCTCCTACTGATATTTTATTATTTATATACACGTTAGACACACTTTATTTGTCTCTACCAAAATACAAATACATTTTAGTAAGGCATGCTAGAAGTGTCTTCGCATGGATCATGTAAGCCTCTAAGTGTATTGAGAAGATAAATACAAATACAAATACACTTTCATAGACACATCATATAATGTGTCTGTTTGTGTAGTTACGTTGTATAGAGGCGCTCCATTACATGTTAGACAATGTAGAGACATTCTCATAGATATATTTATATAATGTATGTACTAATGTAGTCACCTTGTATAGTTACGCCATATTGCTATATTAAGAAGTATACATACGGTTTAGTAGATACATCTATGTCGCATCTACCAATATAGACAACACCATTTTGTATTTCTAGATAAATTTTATATATACATTTATATTTTGTGTCTACTAATACAGACACGTTGTATAGTAATGTTTTATTATATCATAATAAATTTATGGACATTGATGCATCTATATAGCATATCTATTAATGTACACACATTTTATACATTTATATTTTGTGTCTACTCATACAGACACGTTGTATAGTAATGTTTTATTATATCATAAAAAACGTATGGACATTGATGCATCTATATAGCATATCTATTTGTCGGTGTTTCAAGTTACCACCGACGAGTAAATTTCTAGTATTGCGCGTCTGGCTCGGATGGTGTGCCTAAAGGATATGAGGTTTATACTGGTTCGAGCAGAAAGTCCCTACGTCCAGTTCGTCGCTGCTGCTCGTGTTACTAGCACTGAAAGTTTGTAGTAGGGGTTACAAACGAGCGAGAGAGGGACAGGTCCCAAGTCTCTGATGTGCGTGTGCTACTAAGGCATGTTAGGGCGTGTGTTTTGATGTCTACAACCGTGTAGAGTGGTGAACCGCCCCCTTCCTGGGATGTCCTGATTCCCCTTTTATAGACAAAGGGGAAGAGCAGGTTACACACAGAGAAAGATGGAGAATAGGTAAGGAGAGGAAGGCTTCCAGGACCACCGGGCCTTTCTTTTCCATTGTGCGGGTCCCGCCGACATTGCAGATGGTGACAGGGACGGCTCCACGTCGGGCGTCTGTTCGCCGCTGATGCCACGCCCCGGCGTTGTCAGCGGGTCGTGACGTCCCATTCCGCCCTGGCGGGCGACGCGGCGAACCAACATGCTGGTCAGCGGCCGTACAGGGAGTAGGCGGCATATTGACCACGCGTCCGTCACTGTTGATGATGTGAGTTCCCTAGAGTGACATGTCGTAGGCATGGGTCATGTTGAGATGTGCCCACTCCCTGCATGATGCCAGAAGTTTGACCTTGGGTTGTACTTTTTGGCAAATAGTGGTTGGCGGCGGTATGAGCTTCCGTCAGGAGTCGTGCCTGAGGGGTCGGACGAGACGAAGCCCCCGACCCAGAGGTCGGGCGAGGTGGAGCCCCTGACCTAGAGGCCAGATGAGGCAGAGACCGTGGCCTCGGGGGCGGGCGAGGCGAAGCCCGTGACCTCAGGGTCGGGCGAGACGGAGCCCGCCCCGAAGGGTCGGGCGAGGCGGAGCCTGTGGCCTCGGGGTCGGGCGAGGCAGAGCCTGCGGCCTCGGGGTCGGGCGAGGCGGAGCCTGCGCACCTAGGGGTCAGTTGGAGCTGTAGTCGTGCTCTTGACTGCTCGGATGAATCAATGTTGATGACCATTAGCTAATCCTCTTTGGGTACCCTAGTATTGGTACCCGACAGTAGCCCCTAAGCCTGCAGAGGAGTAGAATACTCCTTCAGAGGTTTTTCCGAACAGGAGGACTCTGAGGGCCTCGGCCTTCTTTTGTCACCCACGACGTGTCCTGGGGACGGCGATTCCCTTTCATCGTGATCGGACCCTCGAGGGTATAGCCATGAGATTTGGTGGGTCGGAAAAGGTCTTTCCTGATTTCAAGCCCTACGGGGGTCTGTCGTTCTTCGACCGCGCGTTCGGTCTCCTTGCGAGTCCAACTTTCCTCGAGCCCCCGTGCGTAGCGGGGGTTCGGTCGAGGATTGACTCGTCTTTGTGATCGTCTTCCCTCATGCGTGTTTTTCGATAAAAACGGAGGGGCTAAGCCGTGCCATCATTTTTCTCTATGGACGAATCATGGTGCTTGGTGGGCCGTTAACGGGCTAGTCCAAGTGGGGCCCCGGCATCCCGTTCGAGGAGGTCCGGCTTGGGTCAGCTAGTGATCGACTCTAAATTCTCAGTGGTCAATCCATATAGTTCTCGGGTCTGTTCGACCAGTCTTGAGGGCTCTCTGTCTTTCTTCGAGGAAAAACCACGGATCGTATCCGGCCAAGACTCGAACGTGGGCCATGATGCCCGCGGCGCTCGTGCGCCCGGGCACTGGCCGCTAGCGGGCCCATCCTTTTCCACCCCCCACTCTAAGGTCCCTGGAGTGGTTGTTTAACCCATCGGTGGGGCAACCTTCGAACTCCTGGGCCTAGATGGGCCATAGGAGAGTTTTTAGCTCCGTATCCCTCTTACCTCTAAGGGGTCGTGGCCCGTTTGGAGAGGCGAAACGTTCGGTGTGTTTTCCGAGGGGACAGCATAGGTTGCGTGCACACGCCCCGTGACGAGGCATGGTGATAGGTCGTGGTAGGCACGGAGATCTAAGCGGGTGGTTGGTTTCCTCGCACCCGTCGCCCCAATAAAACCAAAGGGTTAGCCCTCTGTGTTTCATACGCACGCCTGTACCCTTACCTCTGTAGCCACGCCACCGCCACCAACGCTTAGGTTTCCTGCCTCTAGATCTCCGCCGCCGTTGAGTTCACATCCATCCGCCCCCACCTCCAATGGATCCATGGTGTCGTTCTGACATCACCTTCCAACGCATGGAGGGCCTCGTTCGTCATGGTCTTCTCCGCACACGGACCTCGGCCGAGGAGTGGTTGCTGCTCGACGACGAGGATTTGCCATCGTCGCCCAAAGGTTACGTGGTGTCGTTCGCCCACTTCCATGAGCGTGGGCTCGTGACCCCCGCCCACAGATTCCTTCGGGGGCTGCTGCACTTCAACAAGATTGAGCTATAGCATCTCAATCCCAACGGGATCCAACACATGGCGGCGTTCGTCACACTGTGCGAAGGATTCCTAGGGATCAGCCCCCACTTCGACTTGTGAAGGTATTTCTTCGCCGTCAACCTCTAGAAGAATAGGGAGAAGGGTGGTAGACAGGAGCTGCACATGCCGATGGGGTGTGTCGGCATCCAACTTCGAAACAATCGGGTCAACCAGTACCCGTCCATGTGGCTCTCGACGTCCAACAAGGGGTGGCACTCGCAGTGGTTCTACCTCAAGATTGACGCCGCCGCCCCTCTGTCGGAGTTCACCGGGTGCCTGATCGAAGAGGCCTC